AATGCGAATCCCCTGGCAACGAGTTCTCCAGTTGTAATGACATGCTCAAAAGCATTTACGTACAAATCTGCATGTGGATCGAAGGTGTTTTCGCTRCCTTAGGGAATCTGGCTGTCATAATATGGTGGACATTGCTTTTCAAAAAACAAAGAAAATCACGAAGAAAGATAAACAGAGTCCAATCTTTGTTGTTTTGCCATCTCGCGTTTKCTGATCTTCTCATGGGAGTATATCTTCTGCTCATTGGAACTTACAATGAAATATGGAAGGGAGAATACTTTCTGCACGACGTGGAGTGGAGAGCCGGTGTCAAGTGTAAAATAGCAGGCGCCATTGCTACTTTGTCCAGCGAAGTCTCAGTCATGCTTCTGGCTGCCATAACAGCAGATAGGATGAACACAATTCTCTTTAACTTCTCAGCCAGACGCATCAGTTTTAAACTGGCTCATGTTCTCTGTCTGTTTATCTGGGTCATTGGATTCATCATGTCTTTCACTCCCCTTCTTGTTCCAAGCTACTTCAACGACAAGATATCGGGCTTCAGTTTTTACGGCCGTTCCACTGTCTGTCTGCCGCTACAGTTGTCCACCGATCGTCCTGCTGGTTGGGAGTACTCAGTTGCTGTTTTCATTGGCTTCAATGGCGCAGTTTKTTTCTTCATTCTTGTTGGATAMATCGCGATWTTCGWCAAAGTTCGCAAKTCTGGTCGAAAAGTGCGTAAATCATCAAATAACGCGGAATCCTCATTGGGGAAGCGGGTTTTCTTTGTGATTCTGACCGATTTCTGCTGTTGGATGCCAATCATGGTTCTTGGCGTGCTCTCTTTGATGGGTAAATTCAATGACCCTTCTGTGTATATCTGGGTGGGAGTATTCGTACTTCCCGTCAACTCAGCCATCAATCCAGTACTGTACACCTTCTCTTCCTCGCAAACGATCAACAACATTAGGTCACTCAGACGAAAGTGGTTGAAAGATAAAGGTATTAAATCTACAGCTAAATGGTCGGGAGGTAATGGGGGTAATGTGTGTATAATACAATATATATATATTCTCCCGGAGATGGTTAGTTAGTAAGACTCTGTACTAWTATATTTGATACTGAAAACCAAGCGCTCTCTCTGCCGCCATAATCGAAAACGTTAAGCACAGACCGAGCAAGTAAAGGTGACCAAACATCGCGTGCGTACATCAAATGTAACGGAACACGAATGCACGAGCGCATTGTTTAAAATAAGATGTAGCTATATTATTTTTGTTTCGCGTTATCTACGGCGAATTTGGTGTTGCTTGTTATGCATTCCGTACAAGAGTTTGATAGTCCAGTAATCCTGTGGTTTAGGTTGGAACAAATTGCAACAGAATTTTTTTCAATGCTGTTTGACCCGTTAGGGTAAGTTAATCAACATACTAAAAGTCCCAAAAAATCCCTTCGGTGGAACATCCCTAAAAACGGCTTTTAATATTGTCAAGAATTACACAGGAAGCCCAATACTGGGAAAATATCAATTTCCCAAACAAATATATGTAAACTTGCTTATTTCCCTGATTTTACATTGTGCTGAGGCACTTATATCAAAATTAAGTATAATCTTGTCAATATTCAAACAAAAAAGATAATAACTGGACAGATTTTTTAATAAATGCAAATGTAAATACCACAGGAAGCCCGTACTTTGCAAATTTATTATTTTGTTACAAAACATAGAAATTTAACAATATATCATTTGAAAAACCCCTATCATTATCAAAACATCTTTGCAAACAGTACTGAATGCATTCACCACCTATAAATCCAACTGCTGTAACCCTGACAGGTACCGCATGCAGGACTAGAACAATCCAAGTTATACTTTTTACAAGTGCATCGATTATGGTTGCAGTTTGACTTGCAATTGCATCTGATTATCTCAAGAAGTGCCTTATGAGCTGCTGTACAATCTGTTTTGATAGGAAGCAGTTTGCCATCCACAATCTGCCATCTCCAATATGAAGGTGTTAATGTTTTGTTCATTTTCCATTGTTGGACTTGGTAGAACACTCTCGTGCTGTGGTATGCAGCTGCTCCAGATGTTGGTGGTAAGTTTTCTGGCTGAACAAATGAAGATCCAGTAGAAACCTTTTGACAAAGAAATGTATATCGAAGCTCATCAAACTTTTTATCGTTTCTCTTGTTGTACATAGATAAAATCGCTTTTTCTCCACTGAGCAATCAGATCAGTCTTTGTGGTTGCCTGACACCCGAAAACGTTTGCTTGCTGACGGAAACTCATCTATTTTACACTTCTTTAATGCCAGCCCTTTGCCAATTCCGCGAAGTCGATCGAGAAGTGGTATCGCACCCAAGTATTGCGCGTAAAAAGAGTATGTTGTCACACACGTTGGGCCTCGAAATCAACTTTGTTTTCTTGATGTCCCATATTCTTCTTTTCGTAGATCTTAGTTTTGGCTCTGGCTTGAAAAAAATGTATGTGCGCTTGTACTGTTTACATGGTACAACAAAAGAATCAGCAAGTCTTTGTCGTCTCCGACTAGAATAGTTGGAAACAATTGACTCATATCAATGGCAGTGAGCACAATATGAAGATCAGCGTCACCAGGATCATGAACTGTGGTATATGCAGCTGATTAAAGTGTTGCCCTTAGCAGGTTGATAAACCATTGTTTGTTGGAGGCATTTGACAAATAATGCTCCTTTTTGCCTTTCATCTCTATGTCTGGTTGAAAACTCACTGTCTCCTCATATTGTTCTGTACGTCTCATGTGGGTACAGTCCTTTATACTAGGGCCGTCTTCATAATCGTCGAAAACAGTCGTGACATTGCCGGGATACCTGAAACTTATATACTGGATGATGTATAAGTTACATAATTCATTGTACGTCAGACCACGAGGCCATGAAACTCAGTGAAGTAGGGCACCGCTATCCAGCACAAAGGCATATTCTTGCTTTGGAAGCTCAGACGGTAAATTATCTTTCACTTCCTCCCAGATGGCCTCGGCTAAGGCAGGTTTGTTTGCCTGTCGTGGTAGGAGAGAAGCATCAAAAAGTGCTGGAGGGTAACTACACATTTCAAACTGGAACAGTTCTTTTGGATTCTCATACCTTCCGCCAGTGGAAACGAGAACGAACCCTGTGGAACAGGAGCTTCTTGGCGACAAACGTTACAGCTTGTTCTTTCTTTTTGAAAGTGTGTTTATAATGTACAAGCTTAACCTTCATTGAAATAAGTATACTTTCTCCTACTTGTTTGGCTTTATCTGCGTTAACCGTTTCTTTTGCAACTACGCCTGTCGAAATACTTCGTAGCGAAGGATCTGCACTGAACGGATTTCTTGAGTGAAGATAGGCAACTAATTCCATTGTATCTTTAAAGTCGCGCTGTTGTCTAGCTATTGATGTGTCTATATGTTGCTCACTAGTGTAATAGTCGACACCTGTTAGACTCTGCATAGCGTTGTTGACTGCTGCACACATAGGCATGGACATCACCCATATCAATCGCTGCACCTTTGTCATTCCACGCCCCCTGGTAAGACCGCCACTTGTTTTTATACTTAATAATTTAATAGTTTTAATAATTTGATTCTTATATAGCACATGAATCATAGGGAGATGCTCTCATGCGCTTTACATTGACTCGKGAATGACAGATTGCTTTTTTGTGCAATTTACAAACATGAGAGATGGTTAGTATAAAGTGGAGGCACTGAGGGTGGTCACTACCAGGGTTTCTTTTTACGTCCTCAGTGGTTCTTTTATGTCCCCCATTTACTGTAGGTTAGGAAGGGTTGGGAGACAGGGCCTACAGTTTTAAGTCCTTGTCTGAGAAGACTTGAAGGTCTAAAGATATAATTACAAAGGCAGCACCTTCTCCTCAGTTATTTTAAGACCCTGAGTGATGGTCCGGCCGAGGCTTGAACCACCACCTCCCCTACAACAGACCGACACTCTTACCAACTGAGTTAACCGGGCTACTTCTCATAAGTACTTGCTTAGGTGCTTGCTTGGTAAGGTCAGTGGACAGTCCCGCCCAATATGGATCACTTCTGCACACGACATGTAGACCCTCCTGGAAACTCTTATACACTTCAAGGTTCTTATCTTCAAGGTCAGCCATCATTTTCAAGTAGATGAAAGCAGACTTGGCATACATATAGTGTCCCGAGGCAGCAAAATAGGGCAGCATTTCAGCAGCATTGCCTGTTCTTTCAGCCTTTTGGAATTTTCTGAGAATATCGATCACATCCATATTTGGCATCCATAGCATGGCAAGTGCTAGCCTTTCATTGAATTTCTAAAGCATCACTTACCTTTTCCAAAGAGAGGTCTGGAAAGGCAAATTCAGGTGTTTCTTTTCAAATTTCTTAAATCCTGGCTTCTCAGTAAACGACAAAAAGTACTTATAAGAGATAGATAAGTATAGAAGAGAGTCATTACTATCAAATTACTTAGTTTTAGGTCCCATTTAATTCTTTTATAATAAATTTACAAAGTATGGGCTTCCTGTGGTATTCACATTTGCATTTATTGAAAAATATATCTAGCTATTATCTTTTAAATTAAAATATTGACAAGATTATACTTAATTTTGATATGAATGCCTCAGCACAATGTAAAATCAGGGAAATAAGCAAGTTTACATATATTTGTTTGGAAAATTGATATTTTCTCCGTATTGGGCTTCCTGTGTAATTCTTGACAATATTAAAAGCCGTTTTTAGGGATGTTCCACCGAAGGGATTTTTTGGGACTTTTAGTATGTTGATTAACTTACCCTAACAGGTCAAACAGCATTGAAAAAAATTCTGTTGCAATTTGTTCCAACCCCACCCCCCAAAATTTCATAGGATGACTGGACTATGACCCGAGATTTATAAATCATCAGCTTTTGCCTTTTCTTTTGAAGGGAGTATTCGCTTGGAAGGAAAATATTTATTCAGGAGAAGAAAGTCCGAACCAAGCAGTTCAGCAGTAACGACTGCATTAACTCTTCTAAGAACGAACGACGAAGCTGCTGGAGTGAGTACAAAAACGTTTTTTTAAATCATATATGGCGTATCAAAAATGGTTTTGTTTTATTGATGTTGCTAAACACCGAATCGAAATATGGAAACCAATTTCAATAACTATTGTTTTGCGCGGACAAGTCTCGTGTTCACGTGGAAACACAACAGCGCTTTCACATGTATGAGAGGCCGCTAGTCAGTGCAAACAATAGTTATTCAAATTGGCTGCCATATTTCGTTTCTGTTTTTGTCGTTGTACTTGTTGGTTTTTCTGTGTTATAGTCAGTCCCCTGAGTCCAGAGTCCACCCAAAATCATTCCATGTTCCAAAAAAAGCAGTCTTTAATAAATGCTTATTTTCTTTAAAAAATCATCTCTTTCTTCAGCTACAAAGTGAAGCCAAGATATATGAACCAGACAAAGCCCCGTCATCTGATGAACAACAAATGCTAGTAATAGCAGAGCGTCAGTTATTGGTGAAGGTTGACGACGACGAAAAGAAGAGTATCATGAGGCTGTTGCTCATGACGAGGTCACAGCCATAAATGGTTAAACCATTTATTACCTAAACTTGTAGATTGACGTAAGAAGTGGGTACAATAGCTCTGTACCCACTCTGGTGCCCACTGTTCCCTCTGTTCCTATGAGGCTGTTCGGTGCTCATGACGAAGTCACATCCATCATAGATGGTTAATGCATTACTTCTTGTACTTACCTAAAAACTGTACTTTGCCAGAGTATCATGAGGCTGTTGCTCATGACAAGGTCACAGCCATAGATTAAGANGGATGACTGGACTATTAACAGATCCCGCGGCTCAACCTCAGCCTCGTCAGCGACTAGGTCCAATTAACATAGATACGATCAATAAATAAATTTGCTTTTGTTCTAGCGTTTGTACAGAACACTTATATAACGCCTAAATACCGAGGTCGCGTGGGTCGGATTGAGCGAAAGTCAGGCTAAAATCGTTTTTGCTCGTAATTTTTCAAAATAATAGATATTTGATCAAATCCCTCCCATTTCCTTTACCTACTCATCCAGTGCTATCAATAGGCAAAATGTAAGCCGAATCGATTTTTTGGCCGTGTCCGCGAATTTTTTAAATTTTTGATTTTTACTGACATTCAGTCATGACAAGGTAAAACATTGTCTGTTTTTTTGGTTTTGTAATGTTTTATCTTGCAAGTGATAAGAAATTAAAAATTCACCGATGCTTAGATAGATTGGTAAACTCGTTGTAGATTCTTTCCCGGAGTTGAAAAGATGCATTCTGGTACGTCTAGCGGGCACAAACAGCACCGTATGAGTTAAATGACGAACAAATGATAATTATTGGATAAGTTTTTAAAATGGATGTTATTAAGTGGTAATTGAACATTGCCAGAAATTTCGGACATTTGAGCCTGCAATCGGTTTCTATTGAGCAGCGGTTTCTATTGAGCCTGCAATCTTAGGCAGCAGATTTGCCCTAAAACATACGATTTGCCCACAAAATGGTGTCTGGAACCGGCAAGTGTAGTCGTATAGGAAAATCTAAAGGATTTTATCTCTAGTTTGATGATTTTTGCACTGAATTTTTTGAAACTCGCGCGAAATCTGAAACCGCTGAACAGTGAGTCGTGGTCTCACAGGGAAGGGGTCTTCTAGGGCCCTTTTTACTATGGAACAAATTACTGTTTTAAGACATTTACCGCTGAAATATTTAGCTGAATGTAATATTGGAGGAACAAGCTTTCAAACGATGGGTTTTTCGAGCGATTTGAAGCATTCTTTCAAAAGTTACAGTCTTTTGAACTCAGCCGAATTCAGAAGATTTAGCCTGTAGTTATGAAGGATTTCAGTGGATGGATTTATTGGCGTTTTTCAAAAGCAAAAAGTATACATCAAAGTACTTTCRACACGGAATAGGAAGGAATRGTGAGTGTTATGATCATTTCAGGAAAGAGTTCCAGGGTATACATTTGTAACTTTTTGCTTTGTTTCTGCTCAAAACTATAATTTATGACTACACTTAGCGGCTGTGATGAATGGCCGCCCACAGTCTCTTGTAATTCAGAGCGACTCAAAGCACGATATTGTTTTCAAAAAAGTATACATGAAATTTTACCAATGATCAAAATGATCAACATTCTCAAGTTGCTGAAGCTTCACTTCATCGATTCCCGCCTATACATCTTTGAAAATGTCCCTTTTCATCAATAAAATTAACAAAAACATTTCGATAAACATACATTCTTTTGTAAAATCTTACGGTCGGTAACACATAAATATTGAGATGTGCCAGGCGTTCCGCGCGGGTGATGTCCGAAATTTCTGGCGATGATATGTATTGAATATCATATGTATTTCTCGATTAATGGGAACAATTGATGAATTCTACCATAGACAGTTCTAAGACAGATCTAAGATCTGTCTGTGAATGTTTTTTGTAATTAACAGAAATGGGAAACAATTTCAAAGGAATTTATGCATCAAGTAATAGAATAAAAAATTCTAGAAACTGTCACTTCTTAATTATTCAATTGTAATGAAGTCATAAATGCAGAGGACATTATGACGCCCCACGAATTTGACATCGATRGAAGTCAGAAAAATGGTACAGTTTTAGCAAAGCTATTCAAGTAAGCCGGTTATATAGCACGTGCCACCTACATCTGCTGGACGAAGCATGCTGTATTAACGAAACTTGGTAGCATTGGTGAGACTTGTGTTGTCAATCATCAGACCACGTGTCATAACGTGACGTCAAATATCACGTGACTTACGAATAGTCATTAAGAATAAATGCTATATGGTAACCGGAAACTTGTTACATTGGGTGAGCCTTGTGAGCCTTGTGACATTAAACGCGTAATAAATTTGAATTGCTTATAAAACGTCTTGTTATCACACCACTAATACAAAACTGTAGGTTTGCGAAGGACCGAAAGGTTATGTTTGAATGGTCATGATCAAAGCCTGATTGATCGCAATTGATCGCATGGTAAAAACTGTTCAAGATGTTTTTGACTGGAGCCATTTCAGTAATTTTGATTTCGCCTATTTCATCCACTAAAGTCGTTAAATTCTCTGGTGCTTCACTTCTTGTGAGAACATTTTCCTTGAAATCTCCTTAGAAAGAATCAAATATGGCTCCATTAGCTATCCGGATCCCCGGTAGCCGTTTGGTAGCCTTTTTGCAATCAAATTTGGGTGATGTGGTCGGGAGCGTCACTTGAAAAGCGCGTAACTCGAAGCGCGTAACACGATGAATACCCGTCCTCCGTTAACAGAAATGCCAAAATTTTAAATTTCAATTTTAACATCCTAAAATATACCAAATCGCTGACTTTCACCGCGGATTCCCATGAAAAGAATCAAGCTTTTATGCAGAAAAMCCCCCAAAACGGACTTGAAAATAGGCATTGGAGACTTTGAAAATCGGCGTCTTTTGACAGTGATTTTGGGGTGGATGGACAAAAAATTCGTTTTGCAGCTAAGAAAAAAAAAAAAAAAAAAGAATTTAAGACGATTCTAACTCCACTTGTGTAGTAAGGATAGATGTTTGTTTTGAAAGTAGAAAAGAAAAGAAATCTATTATGGAGCCGACACCCAGTGGTACGCTCTTGCAGAGACTCCCTCTTAAACATTCCTGTTTCAAGACGGCTAGTGGCCAAAGAACTTTTTATTATAGCGGAGCTCCACTCGCGGAGCTAAAGAAAAATTGCTAACCCATCGAGTTGATTTTTAATGGGTTTATGACGTCACGTCTGGACGCTTTATTTCAAAGCATTATTTGCGAATGCAAATAAAACATCGCTTTGGGACAAATTTTAGGCCAAGAACAACACAAAAAAACATTTTTATGATGTCAAAGATGGTTCAAGAAAATTCAATCTTAATGAATTTTGGTATTTTTTAGCAAACAATCGTATATTTTTACCTTCTAGAAAAAACATTTTCGTTTGCCTCCGATCGACAAATCATAGACTCATTCCCAGAAACTGTAATACTTCCATAGATCATCATTTATTTCGTTGTTGAATGAATATAAAAAGGAATTTATAAAAGCCACCTGACCTAGAAATTTTTTATCTATTTTGTCTCTCATCTGTCTCAGTCTTAAATATGCAAACTTTATTTTTCGAATGCTTTTGTCGTTCGTCATTTCCATATTGTTTTTTCACTAATGAAAACAGATGAAAACTGGTAAAATCGAAACTCAAAATCTAGTAAGCTTAGTTTTTTAAGCTTCTCGAAGAGTAGTTAAGGCTAATTATAAGAGAAATAAAAATATTTCAATGAATGAATTAGGATTTTTTTTTTCACTGACACATTTAGTTTTGTTAAGTGTTTAGGGGGTCTCGCAAATTAGACCAGTTTGGCAGTAATAATCTCCAGCTAATTTTCTTTCTGGTAAGCAGTTTATTTTAATTTTATTTCTTTACGGTAAAATTACGGTTCATATAAAAACATAAAACTCTTGATATGGGTAACCAAACATCTGTGTAAAAGAAATAAAAGTAAGCTTATATTTTGCTCACCTCAGTTTCCTTAACCATCTTGTGTTAATTTGTCCAAAGAAAATTCGGAAATCTCCAAAATTTAGATTGGAATAAAGGAGGATGTTTCACTCGCATGCTTTTCTCGCCGTACTCATTATATATACATCTGTCTTAGCTTTAGCTTTTTTTTTTTGTGAAAGATTTTCTCTCGACGACGATTTTCCTCGATTTTTTCGCCGAACGAAAACAACAGCCGTTCGCTTATTACTGAAAGATTTCCTGCATCCATTCTGATGAAAATAGAAAGTCTGGACATTTCTTTAGGACCAAGTTCGGGATTTTCGTAATTCTTACCATAGGAAAAATCCAAATATGCATATCCATGAATAGATAGAAAAAGATAACAATTGATTCGACGAGCAAGGCGTTTCTAGGCTTTGAATTAACAGTGGAAATATATCGAAATTAGACGAAGAAAATTTTAAAAAGAACGAACACACCTACGATAAGTATAGTCCTCATACTATATGCTATATCCCTTACGTCTCCTTGAGTCCCCACATGTTTGAGGGTGATACGGCCGGCCATTAACATATCAACTAAGATTCGCCATGTGTTTCACCTCGTCTTGTTTTACGTCCTTGATTTGACGTGACCTTCTAGGTTACCAAAATTGTGCTTTTGAGTATCTTATACAATTCTGATCATCTTGATTTTAAAATTCAAACGTATGCTTCATATAATCACAACAACAAGGTAAAGCATTCAAAGCCGTAAATAATATTTGAAAACTTCGCTTTAGAGGTAAAATATGCCATATCACTCATACAAATAAGTTATTATTCCCTTTTGATAGTTTACTTTTAGTGGTATTTGTTAAATAATCCTTATCTAGTCCTGCGCCGTGTCGCTGTTTATGGTTATTCTTGAGTCTGAATAGTTTTCTTTTCTTTTCTTTTCTTTTTTTGCCTGCACGAGGTATTTTGATCAGTCTTCAATTTTTCTGTCACTTGTAGTGCTGTCCTGTATAGTCTAGTGGTTATTACATCAAGCTTACACCTTATATTTAAGGAAGTTCTAAATGATATCTTCATTTGTAAATGTGGTGCGAATAAAACATTAGTTATTGTTATTGTCATTGTGCTGGAATGGAAGTACTATTTTTGCACTTCATATTCGTTAGAATTTGTAAGTCGCTTCTCTCGGCATGAAACAAAACTTAACAAATAGACATCGGTTTTTTATGTGTCTGTCCTCTTATTGACGATAAATTGCGTCATCACATTGTCAAA